TAGGAAGTATTAGAAATGACATTTTTTTAATTTAAATGAAAATTTGACTCTTAATATGACACAATGGATAAAAATGAATCATGTAGCCGACCACATATAGTGGGATAAAGGTTTGTTGTTGTTGGGGAGATGGCGAAGAAAGATTAAATGAAGTATGCATGGCCTACCTTTATAAACATTTGTGTAAAACAACTATCAACCAATCAGTGAATCTAATGTTACATCAAATGTTAGTGAAGATTCTTTGGTGATTTATGCATGGTTTACAAGCTAAGTCATTGCAGGCAAACTCTACGGTGTTCTTTTCGCTGAATGGTTCTAGCGAAATAAGGAGAATGTTGGGCGGAGTAGCTTAGGGTAGGGCGCTGTAAGTGAACCAAATGTTCGACGAGCTACTCGTTGTTCGGTTCGATTAAAGTTCGTTCGTGATTGTTTAATTAACTAAACAAACAAACTTGAACAATATTTTAAATACTCGATTCTAAAATAAACAAGCTTGAACACTAATGCGTTCGCTTATTTATGTTCGCGAACAACATCATTTGAAGTTCGTGAACAAACTCGACATTAAGCTCGAGAAGATCAAGAGACAAAAGAAAGTTTTGAGCAATGGCTCCACTTGTTTGTGAACTATTGTGGTTAAACATCATTCTAGGTGATTTGAAGATTTAGTGGGACAACCCGATGAGACTTTGTTGTGATAGTAAGCTTGCATTCAGCATAGCTCATAATCTAATGCATCATGATCAGACAAAGCATATAGGGGTCGGCTTACCCTTCATCAAAGAGAAAATAGACAATGGCTTGATTTTTTACATCCTATGCATATATGAATCAATTACTTATAGAAATTAAATAGTGGAGTGTTTCAAGCAATTTTATCTAAGTTGAGAATAAAAAAGAAAAAAAAAAATGATCAAAATGGTCTCCGAATTCTTTATGAAAGATCAAAATGATCTACAACTATATAAAAAATGACTATTTTAATCCCTCAACTCCTTAAAGAGGAATTAAATTTATGATAATTTTAGTTCTTTGTGGGCTCCGAAAATTCGGCCCCGGCCTCCGCCCGTTATGATCGTGCTGATTGATTGCTTTTATCTTTGGCAAGGGAGTTTTAACAGATTTAAGTTCCGGGGTAAATTTTGGAAGGCAGATGAGTTTGTAGATAAGACACTACTCAGAGATTTCGCCCTCATTTTGTGAGGACTTTATGATTTGAGTTCTGGTTTCCTATAGGCGCAAGCCCCTATAGTTAATTACCCCTCTCGATAACAAGAGAAAACTTTCGATTAAGGCTAGTCGTCAATCATATATGTATAAAATACGTGTTATCTGGCATATAGTAGCAGCAATGGGTATTGAGATAGTTGGAGAATTTAGAAATTTGGAGGATTGGAAGATTTTGAGATTTGATATTTAAAGTTAGGAATTTCACCATCTTGTACTTAAAGAGGATGGTGGGGGAATGGATGATGGGCCTGATTAAGATCCCATGGTTCCGTTGTCCCGGGCCATCGTGATCCCTGATCTACTTAGTAAGAAGAGGTACACGACCCAACCTGACAGATCCTTGTCGGCAGCCATGGGTTGGTTCGTCCAAGGGGACCTTGTAGACCCGGGGTGAGTGTTTATCTAAGGGGACAAATTTGAATCTACCATAGCTGATAGAGGGCTTTGTGCCCTATTGATCATATTCTATTGATTCATATCTCAAGAATTTGATGCCAATAAGAAACGTATTGGCTCCGGCCATAACCGGTATTTCGCGGTGCCATTTGGTGGCAAAATCACTCGGTTCAGAGGGCCCCGGGTCATAACCGTTTATCCTGCGGTGCCATTTAACGGCAAAATCACCGGTTAGAGGACATGTACCACGTCCTTACTGGCAGGAGATTGTTTAAGAATGAATCATAGTGATATTTTCGATTAGGTATTAGTTCTTTGTGAGCCGAAGTACATTTCAATTTGTCCACATCGGCAAACTGTTGCGAAGGGTGGATGGATTTTTTTTTGCTTTAAATGCGATGGATCTGTTTCAGTTTTAAATATTTTCAGATTTTGAGATTTTGGGGATTTTGGATGTAGTTTAAAAGGCATTTGAAATATTTGGAATGGACCCCTCTGGTTGAGATTTGCATTCAACACGGCCATCATCGGGGTGTTTGGGATCATTTCCGTTTGGTTGATCGAACCTTGTCAACTCGGCTGAGCTGTTGACTGAGGATCGGGTTTCTCGTAGGCTTTGTGTCTTTGTTAGTGAATTCTTTTGATAAATGCCTTGAAGGCCTAATATGAATGTACAAAATAAATATTCCTGTCAATTTCGTGACCGCGTATTTATCCGATGGTTTGAACCTTGTCTACTCCTATTTACCTACTTAGGAGAATTGTGTTTCGTGCCTTTGTTTAGTGAATTCTCTTTGTTAAAGGCCTTGAAGGCCTAATATAAAAGTATTTAAACAAATACACCGGTCGGCACAACCGTATATTTGTTTAGTGGTTCGAACCCTGTCGACTCCTATTGATCCGTATAGAAGGATCAGATTCGAACTTAAATTCACTTGTTGACCCGTGCAGCATCCCTAGGCGTTACGTATGTACCAATAGCAAGCTCGCCGGGACCCATGCGGGTTTTGAGATTGTATTTATCTCTTGTGTACCTATGTGTATACAAACTATGGTGCATATACAGGGGTATTTTGAAATAGTTGTAGTTGTGCAGGTAACTGCCATTTGAATACACAACATTTCATTTGAGAGCTTATACACGCCTTCTGTTCGCTAGTACGAGTGTTGCGGATCTGGTTGCATTATGGTCTTGATGTTGACTCCCCCTTTCTCATTCACCGGGGAAGGGTTCTTCTGGACTTTGAAATTTATTGCTTTGAAGAGAACTCCTTTTGAGATCATCATTATAGTGGACTTGATATTTTTGATATTTGTGGATGCCAGAGTTGTTTTCCTTCCCAGGTACAGGATTGAGAAGGCATTTTGGAACACCAGGAAGTTTAGTTCTAATTTGCTAAAACATCTCATACTTTCTGCCAGGGGGTGTCCTTTTCCGTACATCGAGTTACCCTCGTACCCGATGTACTTGTAGACTTTAATCACCATTGTCGTAGGAGATATTTGTACTTGTGTCCACAGTGGTTCGTTGTATCTACAATGTATCCACTGTTGTTATCCACAAGTGGTTTATACTCATTTGGAGGGATTCGTTGTATCCACTACGCCTCCTAGAGGTGTTCGTAGAAGACCCACTGTTCCCACATCATATTCACATTTCACCAATCTCAGGTGGTTTGTTGATTATACTTGCTTGTAGGGGCGGGTCCTCCAGCATCGAACACCAGCATTGCCATCTCAATCTACAAGCAATTGTAGGGAATGTCGTAGGAATTCATGCATCAAGATTTTGTAGTTTGAGTTTTCTCGTGTGTGATTCAAGTTTTGATCTTTGCATGTGTTTGAGTCCAAGTTGGGTTTCATTTAGACTCGAGTTCATCGAGTCTACAACCTCCACTTAATGTTGTATAGCACGAGTTCAAGTGTGAATTCAAGTTTGGTTCGTACTTAGATTCTTTGTGCTCCTCTTGAGTTCAGACTCCATTCAAGTTCAAGTCTTTGTTCAATTTATTTCACTTTCAAATTGAGATTGAGTTCACTTGAGTCTGAGTCAGTTGCACAAGTTCACTGGTCCCTTGTATTCAATCCGGTTCGAGTTCAAAGTACATGTTCAAGTGCTTATCAAGAGTCTTATGAAGTCCTTGCAAGTGCAATTACATGCTCAGATTGACTTGAATTTGGTTCCAACTTTGATTTTATTTTATTTTATTTGAATTTGAACTTTGGTTTTGTTCAGGTCCTCTGCTCGTGTTCAATCAAGTTCAAAAGTCCACAAGTCTGGATCCACTATTGTTCATTTGAGTCCAAATTCTTGCATGTCCTTTTCTGTTCAAAATTTGTTCACATGTAGGCTCAAATTCTGCTCAAGTCCACGAAATCTTCAGTCTGAATTTCGACAGCCTCCTAGCGTCTCCCCCGTTTAGGGAAAAAATCAAGAGGCAACCTTCCCCTCGACGCTACGTGAGCACTTCAGGTAGGTGTCAAAATAAACCGCGGTCGCAAATATTTTTTTTATCCCCGCCTGCTACATGAGCGTTTAAGCGTATTATTTTTTTTGTTATTATTTTATCCCCCTTGAGCTACGTGAGCACTCCGGGGATTATCCTTCTCGTTGCAAGCGCCGCATCGGTTTCCCTCCCTACAACGCTACTTGAGCTCGCAGGGGATTTGCCGGCTCGTCGCAAGCATTGAGGATAGGATTTTAGGAGACTGTCCGTCTCATCGTAGGTGTCGCATCGACTTCCCTCCCTACAATGCTACATGAGCGCGTAGGAGGTCTGCCAGTTCGTCGCGAATGTCGAGAGCGGAACTTTAGGCGATTGTCCGCCTCGTCGTAGGCGTCGGGCTAGTTTCCCTCCCCACAATGCTATGTGAGTACGCAAAGGGTTTGCTAGTTCGTCGCACATGAGTTTAGATTATACATTCAGGACCGGCGGATCGGCGGACCGACGCGTGGACCGAGGCAAGTGGAGGGGCGTCTTGCGTTACTTATAATTAAAATCAATTAATTATAATTAATTAAATAATTATTTTTAATTAACCATATTTAATAAATTATAATTAATTTTAATAATTAATTAAAAAATAAAAATTAATTAAGATAATAAATTATAATTAATTTAAAATTAATTATAACTTAATATTAATTAATTCTAATAAAATATAATTAATTAATAATAATTAGTTTACAAATTATGATTAATTAAAAAATAATAATTATAATTAATTATACTTGATTAATATAATTATAATTAAAATTATTTTATATTATTTTTATATATAAAAAAAATTAACTTGAAACCTAAAGGAAAGCATGGTGCGGGTTATTTGCAAAGATTATTGCTTATTCAAGATTTGCAAATCAAAGAGAGGGCCATCCGGTCGTGCCGAGATCGTGGGGGAGAAGCGACATGAGGCACGGTCACGAAGTGGGCAAATTATTGGGTCTGGTCACCTGACTGACGTGTGGACAGCCAATTCAGAGACGCCACCTCACTCACTCACTCGGATGCACTGAGCCCCCATATTTTTTGATTGACGTGGCGTGTTTTTATTGGTGTCCGGACATCGGACACAATAATTTGCCCACGGCCTAGGATGGCAGGTACGTGGATTTGATTTTGATTTTTTTTTTGTTTCAGCTTACGGGTCAACAATCTTTAAGGAGTAAAGAGATCAACATGATACTTTAATATAATTGAATACTATTTTGATCTTTCATAAAGAGTCAAGTGGTCATTTTGATCTTTTTCTCGAATAAAAAAATCTACTCTCCAGCTTGATGAGGGCAAATTCATGCCAAGGAATGAAATAATCATCTCATAGATGCATGTTAAATCCTCAAATTCATTTTAGTAAATCAGGATTACACAGATTTGGACAAGAAAATTAGGATCAACTCATGGAAAAAAGGAAGTTGATTGTATATATTGATAGTATGAAGGCTTTTATTTGTATTTGTTTGTTTTTCATGTTTTGATGTAGGATAATTTCTTATTTTCTTCTTATACTAGTCTATATAGTTGTATCAAATACTTTAAATAATAAAAAAGATTTTCATATTATCCATAGTAAGTGGATGAAGAGGCAATTTAAAGCCAACTTTTGGGCTGAATCTCTTAACCGGACACAATGGAGAAAAATGATTCATGTAGCCGATCCCATATAATGGGATAAATGTTTGATGTTGTTGTTGTTTTATATACTTGAATTAGAACTGCTGATAAAAAGGGGATTGAAGATGCTCCTTTTGATAAACAATTATTGCAATGATCAAATTCCATATCTCATAGTTCTTAATTTTTGGAGAGACCAAAAACTTTTTGTACTTCAAAGTTTTACCTATATTCAAATATTTCTCTGAGAGGAGACTTCCCTCTATAATTTTAGATGAAAAGAGCTGCACTTGTTTGTTGTCTTAAGTTTTCATGTGTTCCTTGAACCTTTCATGATTGCAAAACCATGGAAGTCCTTGGTTTCATTACATATTCAAATCTCCATGCTCATTTAGAGCTTTAAGGATTGAGAAGCAATTCGTGTGACCTATGCTGCATTAGCATAAATAAAGGGCGATGGATGTGACAGACCTTTTTAGAAATATAAGTACATGGATATTAATTGGACAAGGCTTTTTATATATAACACAAACATATATGTGTGTTTATATATATATATATATATATATATATAGTTGAGTAAAATAAATTTTCTGATCCTTAATAAATCAAAAAGCATTTTAAATTATAATTCTCATCATTTTATAGGACTTCTAAATTAAATTATGAGTTCTAATTAACATGATTAGTTGTCATTGTTTATATGTATTAGAAGTTCAACACACTCAAGATGTATCAGAGATTTTTTTTTTAAATTAAAAAAATGCGACCTGCTAAATTATGTGTCTGGCATGGTTTTCTAGAACATTAGTCTGTCTTACCGATACAACAGCCCTATGTAAGTTGCTTTATAAGTTGTGATTAAGATGGTTAATTCTTTTTACAAGAGGCTAAATGTTCTTTTGAGTCTAAGTTTTCAATCCTTGGTGAGCTGTGGCATGTTTTTCTTGAATATCCAGCGCCACTTGTGTTTCTTGTGCCTCGTGTGATGCACATTGAGTTTGGTGCTGGGAAAAAATTGGTTTTGAAGTCAAATAGCTGTTCTTTTTGATCCATGGATAAGCCGATGTGAAATTAAAGCTATGTTTTTTAAGTTTTGAAAAATTTGAAGATTTGAAAAATGATATTTCAAAAATTACTTCAACAGCATTTTAACTATATATTTACTGCAATGAAGCAACAGTAACCATAAAATTCTTTGACCCAGTCTATTTCGGAAAACCGAAGTGATTGTTGTAGCAGTCTTAGTTAACAATATTAATGACCTTCTCTAACTTTTATGTATCGAAAATATGGTTGTGGTGAAGTTTGAAGTTGGAAGGTTTTTTAGAGTTCCTAGTGTTTTATTGTATTATATTTGCATTTTTTAATCTTATGCTCTTAATTTATTGACATCTATTTTGACCAATGTGCTTTTTACAGCTCATTGTTAAAATTTAAAATAAGATGATCAGGGTCTCAGAAGTTTTATTGGCACGAAATTTCATGCCTAACTTTATGCACACCTATGCACATGTCTGGAAAATATAATTGTATGCTGAACTGAAGTTTTATATTTTGCATTGATAAAATAAAAAGGAAACCTTGAAATCTTATTTCACATGAATTCTCATATTGCAAATAATAAATATCATTTTTTTTCTGGCGAGTAGTTCTCATAGGTGCATGTATGCATTCTTGTACTTATGAACTGATTTAAAAGAATTTTATTCACTGTAAACAGACATGAGACAGATCTTGGCGGAGGCAAAAAGCCGTTGGCTTCGTCCGACTGAGATTTCCACTATCCTTCGGAATTACCGTAGGTTCAACATTACTCCAGATCCACCAAATTTGCCTCCGGGTATGCTTTTTTTGATGCTATTTCTGTACAATGCCGTGATCACTTTGTTTCATGAATTCTTTTCTATTCTATGAAAATAAAGTTAATATTACATTAGAATGCTTTTTATGAGAATATATTTGGTAGTTTCCTTTCAATATTATTATGTAGATCATACCACATGTTTCCAAGCTCATTACGAAAGCATATATGATGATTTCCTTTTCAACTTTGAGATGCAGATCATTGCACATTTAAGAAACCTTATTCACAGCTAAACAGAACAAAAGTCTAAATTTTTAAAATTGCCATTTTCTGCTAGTGGAAGATTTAATACTTGTTCAAATTCTTTCATTCATTGAAGAAATATGTAAGGCAATCCTAGGAGGCTATATGATATTTGATATTGTTATTCTTAATATGCCTCATTTTCTGCATCATCTTCACAATGTGAGTGCTAGTTAGCATAACATCCTTTGGAATAGGAGTGTAGGCTCTTGAAGAAAAGATTCTCTTTTATATTGCTTATGAGGAAACCTGTCATAGTTTCCTAGAAAGTAGATTGATATAGCCAAATTTCCGTATGTGAGAAAATTGGGGCTTAATAGGATATGGGGATCGAGATTCCCTATGGGTGCAAGCCCCTGTTAGTTGCCCCTTAATTGAAGAGCACCTGTTTAATGGTATCAATCTACTCTTAACTTCAAGCTCCCACGCTTTTTCCATAGGTTCAACGTTACTCCTAACCCATCATATATTTCATGTTATGTTTCGGTACATTGCCAAGAGCAACTGTCTGTCATGAATTTCTTCCAATCTATGGAAATAAAGTTCATTTTACATTGGATTGCTTCTTTTATGAGAATATATATTGTAGTTTCCTTGAAATAGTATTATGCAGATTATAGTACATGTTTCCAATGCTCATTATGAAAGCATACATAATGATCCTTTTAAAGCAAATCCTTGTGCATTGTATCAGTGTTATTCATGAATAACCTTTATAAAAATCTGATATAGAGTAAAACTGGACCATTTCCTACAAGCGGAGATATTTGTACTTGTTAAGATTTTTCATTCGCCAACCCCACAGTGGGATAAAGGCTTGTTGTTGTTGTTCATATTTTTCGATTATTTAACTTTATTTTGTTCATTGATGATCATGTAAGGCAACCCTGGGATACTATATGATATTTTGTCTCGTGTTATGTTGAATGTGCATTATTTGTTGCAACATCATTGCAATGTGATCGCTAATTAGTATTAGCATCATTTGGAATAGGAGTTTGGGCACTTAAGAAAAGATTCTGTTATTAATGTTGATGAAACATGAAATGTTTTCTTAGAATGTAGATTGATATAACTAGATTTCCCCTTACGAGAACATTGGCATTTATTAAGACATAGGGATAAAGATTTCTTATGAGCACAAACCCCTATAGTTGGTTAACCTTTTCTATTGGGAGAGCACTTTGACCAAAGAAATCAATCTGCTCTTACTTTCAAACTCACACTTTATGATGATGGCATTCTTGAGTACTTTTATCATGCTATTTGTGCTGTTTGTATGGGATGTGGATGTGGGGATTGATGGTAAATCCTACTAAGATCTCATGGTTCCAAGGTTCAGTGTTATTGTCTTTGATCTCTAAAATAGATGTCCAAGTTTTGATCTTTGCACCAAAAAAAAATCTCTTGATTTTACTGCTCAAGATGTTATTGGCGAACCCCAGTCCAAGAGTCATGGAGCTATGTCTATAAGAAGTTAGCTTCAAGCCATGAAACTATATCGTGTAACTTTGAGCATTCGATCAGGGAGCTTGCTATGTCCATTAATTCTAAGCCATTGAACTTATTGTGACTTACAGCTTTTTAGTTAGTGAACCTTTAACTATGATTATTGGTGGGAGAGTTATCACTGATTAAATTAGCTATCCCGTAAATATTAGAGCTAGGAATGTATTTCAAACATTCAACATAGCTGATACTTTGTTTATCCCTTGCGATATTAATTAATGTAGGTTTCATGACCCTCATTGGAATGCTGATTGATATATTATCAAAAATTTATCTTGACCAGGCTCAAATCTCAAGGCAAAATCAAGTAGGAAACTTCCAAAATTAAAATTGGGACCATCCGAACTCCGATTTCAGCAAACTTACAGTCGAATTGAATGTCTCGAAAATACGAACCCAACGACGCCAAATTCAACCCAATCCAAGCCCAAATGGGGCCAAATCAAAGACCGAAGCGCTGTTGGAAGGTTTAAACTACAATTTGGATTACCAAACGGTTTCCAAATGTGACATGCTTATAGTCGAATCGAGCGGCTCGACGAGTCAAATTCAACGAGTCCAAGATCACTTAATTCTGATATCACTAATACATTCAAATGTTTAGTAGAAGGTTCACGATCAAGGTAATCAACATCAGTCGTCCATTCAAACCACTCCCAATTTACCTTTGATCTTCGTCTATTTACTGGCAATGCCACTCTCAGAAATCTATAAATAGACTTCTCACTTCTCATGGAAGAGGACCCCAAGCAAGAAAGCAAGAAGAGAGATTAGAGATCGCTCTTGCCACCTAGCTCCTCCTCGACCATTGCCCAAACTTCGTCGGACCATCGCCTGACATCGGACTTTTGCCGGACCACCGCCTGATGCCGGACTTCTATCGGACCATTGCCTGACACTAGACTTCAGCTGGACCAACAACTAACACTCGGACTTCTGCCAGACCACCGTCTGACGTCGGACTTCCGCCGGACCACCAACTAATGCTCGGACTTTCGCCGGACCATCGCCTGACGTCGGACTTCTGCTAGACCACCAACTGACACCCAGACTTCCGCCAGACCACCAACTGACGCCCGAACTTCCACCGGACCACCGCCTGACGCCGGACTTCCGTCGGACCACCGACTGACTTCTGGACTTTTGCCGACCACCAACTGACGTTGGAATTCCGCTTGACAAAACATCGCTAGACTTGCACCTTACCTCCATTTGTCACTAGATTTTAACAAGAGAGTTGATTATTATAATCTGATTGCCCTCAAGGATGGTTCAATCAACTCTAATATACTCAAACACTAATGGAATCATTTCATCTGGGCATGACCCCATGATTTTTCCCCTTTTCAGGATTTTCCACGTAAAAATTTGTGTTCTATTTCTGTGCACCGGATATTCGTACAACGCTGAGATGTAAACTTTCGACTCTACTGCAGCGTATATTTTAGCCCACAACAGTTTGGCGTCATATGCTAGAAACTCCAATCCCACTATCCTAAGCATCATTTTGATGACCAACAGGCTAGAAGTCTGCCTCTTTTCACCCGGTGGGCGAAATCATGCCGGGGAAGGGAAATCATGACCATCCTTGGAAGATCACATCCAGAAGATGGAGGAATATCAGAATGAGATCCTTCAACTCCTGTGAGAAACTCGGCAATCGGCGCTAGCACCACAGGAAGAGATTTTTTTCCCTCGAGATCCATCGCTAGTCGAGGGTGTTCGATCTGAACGTCTTCATGCAGATATCCATCTTCCATAGTTAAGGATGCATCCTCCGTCACATCAAGATAATGAACTTGCCAACACAACAAGCTTTACCCATCCTTCGTGCGCAGGTTGGCAACCTTACATTCCTCTGGACGTCCTGAGGACTTAGCCTGACCGCATGTTACTGAGCTCCTTCGCAACGCCCTACGACATGAACTACGAAGATTGGTCATAGAAGAGTCCTTGTGGGAGGTGTAAGACAATCTCTTCGTCAGTGGGACTTCTAGGAATCATCACCCCTGAGTGAAGCCATCCTTTAACACCTCATTCCGACAGGATTCAAACTACGAAGCATCGATTCCTATGATGGGACATCCGACCCGTACAAGCATATTGATCACTACCGAACCGTTATGCATATTGAAAGATCTTTGGACGCGCTTCTCTGTCAAGTTTTTCCTGCCACGCTCAAAGGGCAAGATCAAACTTAGTTCTATTCGCTTCCAGTCGAAACCATTCCCACGTTCGTCAAATTGGCCAAAGTGTTCGTCGAACAATTTGTTACCAATCGGAGAATGGTTAAAGATTTTTCCCACCTCTCAGGAACTCACCAAAGTGAAAGTGAGTCACTCAAAGAATACTTTCAAAGATTTTCTACTGAGGTTCGATAAATTCCAGGGGCAGATCCTGAATTGCTTAGAAGAGTTTTCCTCAGAGGACTTTGTCTCGACTACTTACTCAGCATTCATGTGAGACACGATTCATTTATACGCTGATCTGATCCATCGCGTGGAGGCAAAAATCTCTGCCGATGAATCCATTAATGCTCATAGAAAGCAGTTTGAGCAAACTAATGAGAAGCATAAAAGTGCATCAGGGACGGATAATTCATCCACGCAGTGAAAGAAGCAAAGAAATATAACTTGTCCCCTCAACCCTCACAGTCGCCACGAGAGCCTCGTCTAGAAAAGGAGTATACACCACTTAACGTATCTTAGGCCAATGTATTGATGACTATCCTAGATCAGGAGAACGTGAAGTGGCCGAACCCTTTGAAGCCAAACGTGAGAAATCAGGAGCAATACTGTCACTTCCACCGTAGCCGTGGACACACTACTAACATATGTAAATAACTCAAGGATAAAATTAAGAGACTAATCCGACAAGGATATCTCCGACAGTTCATTGAAAACCCAGCTGCTCGTGATGAGGTTGGTCCCGGTGGGGGGCAAATTCAATAACAAAGGCAACCGTTGAATAATCACCAAACGGTTGGTAAAATTGAAACCATTGCTGGGGTCCATTATTACCTAATCAAGTCTTAATTGCAGCAAGAAAAGAGCCAACACCAAAGAAGTCTCGCATATATCATTCCATTGTTTTTGATGAGTCTGACTTAGAGGGAATAAAGACCCCTCATCAAGACCCACTTGTGATTAGCGCGGGGATTGGTGGCCCGTGCTATAACGTCAAGAGAATCTTGGTCGACAATGTAAGCTTAATAAATGTCTTAT